AGCGGAGGGCATGGGTAGGGTAGTATTTGGGTATCAGGTCAGTTATGTAGTTTGGGGCAGCATTGTGAGTGGCTTTGTAGGTCAGAGTTAGCCTAAAAACTGGTGGAACATGCAACATTTTCACAAAGGTGAACTTATCCTTTTCCAATGAAAATTAGTTTTTATATTAATATATATATCTTAAAATGTTTTATATATATATATATATATATATATATATATATATATATATATATATATATATATAACAGTCTCCATGATTGTTCGTAATACAATTTAGCAATGAGCGTAATCTCATTTATCAAAGCAATAGGTTTGCTAGAATGTATCTGCTCCCCAGCAGCACACATTCGTCTTTCCTTTGCCCTTCCCCAACTCAGTACAGACATCACGAGCAAAGGAAATGCCAGTACTTCCAGGTATGGAGAAACAACATTCTCACTCTGCTTTTCTTTCTTGTGGCATTGCTGGTGCTTGATTGGCCAAATGGTTTAATGTGGCGACAGGTAGGCAGCCCTAGAATGACTTATGGCGGGGGTCAGCAACCTGTAGATGATGATCTACTAGTAGATTGTGACCAGGTGGCTGGTAGATCATGGTCTGAGCTTGCTGACCTGCCGTCCATCAAACAGAGTGCAATACAGAGGGACTACTTGTAAAGTTGGAGCTGTAGTAGGGAGCAAGAGCCGCATTAGCATATGCCTCCTCTGTAGTGCCGGCTCCTGTCCCATGCGGAGTGATACCAACTGCCCTCCACCTCTTATACCGGCTAGTGGTCTTCAGAGTGGTACCAGCAGCAGAAAGGATGATATCTTCAGGTCAGTGTGAAGCAATACACTAGGCATAATAGTATAGGGCTGCTTTCACACTGGCGTGCTGCGATTTACCCACACCATGGATGCAGTGCACCAAAACTGAATCCAGGAGTTTGATGCACTTTCAGAAAGTGTACCACACCTGCAGGATATAATAGAAGTCTATGGCAAGGCGCACCTAATCCAGGAAAGTCGCAGATGCACAGCACTACACTCACGGTGCAGGTAAAACGCTGAACATCAGTGTGAAAGGAGCTTTATGAGGGCTCAGAACAATAGGGGTTCATTTGCAGTTTGGAGGTTTAAGATGTGTTTTTACCACCCCCCGCCCCAACTGCACCCCCCTTAGCTGCAATGGCCAGGGGTGTGTACACATGTCGTAGCCGCTGCAGGAGTTATACACCCTGTCATAGTTGGTGAGTGTGGCACCTGCCAAGCACATTCAAGTGAATGAGGCCTCCTCACAATCTATTTTAAACCCATGATTGGCAATTAAAGGTTTAAATCAGGTGTGGGAAGGCAACTCTGTGCCCGGTGATCTTTGACTTCTCCCATGTTGTTCAGGTTGATCTCCACCTCTTTAAGTTTGCCTACCCCTGACTTATAGCTTACAGAGTGCTTCATTTTTCTTTACCAGCAACTGTTTTGGAACAACGAGGGAGCCAAGGTAAGGGCTCTTTCACACGGATGTTTCATTCGGGTCCAGCTGCCCATTTTTCTGGCAGACCTGATCGGAACCTCTGTTCTCCTCTATGGAGCAGCGGGTATGAATGGACATGTGTCCGTTTTAAAACCTGCCGACATCTGATCCGCCAAAAAGGGACAGATGGGGATCCAATTCCCCTTCCGTCCATCGGATTGGGTCGAATGAAAACGGACAGGTGGTCTGTTTTCATCTGACCGTCCATTGAGGAGAGCGAGCAGCGGAGGGGACACAAAGCTGTCATCTGCTTGATCAACGGAGAGATCCCCCGCTGAACAAGTGGATCTGCTAAATGGGTCTGCTCCGTGTGAAAGGACCCTAAGGCTTTGTGCTCATGCACACATGCGTAATATTCTACACTGGATTTTCTGGTAGAAACATCCAGTCTGTAAAAAGAAGAAAAAAAAAAAAGAAAAAGCATAATACTACTTGTGTTTAAGGGCATTTTGGTGCATATATGTCCATACAGCATTTAGGAGCCTCTATTACAGGTGTCAAACTGGCAGCTCTCCAACTGTTGCCAAACTACAAGTCCCATGAGGCAGTGCAAGATTGAAAGTTACAAGCATGACTCCCAAAGGCAGAGGCATGATGGGACTTGTAGTTTTGCAACAGCTGGAGGGCCGCCAGTTTGACACCCCATCCATTTTTCCAACTCCACTAGAATACATTTACAAGTGTACGCATGTACACACATTTACATGAGTATAGGTGTAACATACACCAAAATACTCAGCTTGGATACAGAATTTGCGCATATTTTTTGCTTCACTAAATGCTGCTTTAGATTATGAAGATAAACACGGATTTGTGCAGCTTTTTTTTTTTTTGTTCCCGTGTGTATAAGCACTAATGTGTATCAACGTGAAAGTTAAAGATGGTATTCTATGTTCTCATTTATACAATGGTGGTTTTATAAGCATTGCAGTGCTGTAGGTTAGACAATAGTTCCTTGCCTGTCCTAATGAGTAAAGCATGTATAAATGTACAGGCCGGGTACCAATGGGAAGCATAACTAGGGTTTTTTATTCCCATCTCGATAGGCTACTTTATTCACAATACACGTGCCTGACCCAACCTGCAATATTCATCTGCGAAAAGACCAGCCATAGACACAATATGTAAAAATGTTTCTTCCCAGCAGAACGCAGGTGAACGATTGGCAGCTGGCCACATCTAAATATATTCATCTCAGTGTAACTTCACCGTCCCACTCCTGCCCTCTGCTAATTACAAATTGGGACTTTTAACTTCTACATTTTAATCAATTGTTCCGTACCAGTCTCAGAGCTTGTTGTGATCATTAAAGATAAAGGACCAGAGCGGTTTTCTGTGCCTCCGCCTGAACTGTGAATGTAAACCGATGGGAGCAGCTCCCTCCCAAGTTTTATTTAAAATTAATTAAAATATACTTTAGTTGTCATGTTTGTTTAAGAATGCCATCCATCATCGGAATGACTGCCTAAAAATATTGCTGGCACTAATCTGTGCATTTGGAATAAGAAGCTTTATGAGAGTGGAAAGGTGTGACTGTGTAGCGAAGCAACGGTGTCGCTTTTCGAGGCAACTGTAAGTTTTTGAAGTTTGTTGATTTTTGACCTGGTTTAGATTGAGACTGTACTGTTACATTTTATACATTTACAATTAGCATTTGAGTAGCCCCAGTGAATATTCATCATATAAAGTATGCAATACTAAATATCCCCTCTCTCAATCCCTCAGTGCTGACAGGCACGTTCTCCTCTGCTAGCCCCTTGCTGGGCTGTAATCATAATGGCCATTTTATTTTTACAATATAGATAAAAGATCTACTTTAGCCACGTGTGGTCTTAATCAGAAACCTGAAAAAGTACATTATCTAAACTGAACAAACATTTTATATATTGCAGCTTGGAAGTCCTTAGATTATCTTTTTTGGTTTTTTTTTTTTCCAAAAAAAAGAACATTTTCTCCAAGTGCAATAAAATACATAGTTACGTAGTCTGGCTGAAAAAAGACAAAAGTCCATCCAGGTCAAACAAAAAATAAAATTTCTAATCCTATACCCACAGTTAATCTAGAGGAAGGCAAAAAAACAGCAAAGCATGATCCAATCTGCTCCTGCAGGGAAAAAAATCCCTGAGAGGCAATCGGATATTCCCCGGCTCAACTTTACCTATAAATGTTAGTATCCGGTTATAGTCTGTGTATCTAAGAAATAATCCAGGCCTTTTGTAAAGCAATCCACTGAGCTGGCCAGAACCAACTCTTGAGGGAGTCTATTCCACATTTTCACAGCTCTTACTGTAAAGAAACCTTTCTGCATTTGGAGATTAAATCTCTTTTCCTCCAGATGTAAAGAGTGCCCCCTTGTCCTCTGTGATGACCTCAGGGTGAATAGCTCTACACCAAGTTCACTATATGAACCATTGTTGTATTTATACATGTTGATCATATCCCCCCTTAATCTCCTCTTCTCAAGAGAGAATAAATTCAGTTCCTCCAATCTTTCCTCATAGCTGAGCTCCTCCATGCCTCTTAGCCTCTTATCAGTTTAGTTGTCCTTCTTTGTACTTTCTCCAGTTTCTCTGTTCTTTTTGTGAATTGGTGCCCAAAATTGAACTGCATATTCCAGATGAGGTATTACTAATGATTTGTACAGGGGTAATATTATATCTCTCTCTCTGGAGTCTATACCTCTTTTAATACAAGAGAGGATTTTGCTCGCTTTAGAACCACAGCTTGGCGTTGCATGCCATTATTAAGCTTGTGATCTACCAGAACTCCCAGATCCTTCTCCACCATTGATATCCCCAGTTGTACCCCCCCTAGTATGTATGATGCATGCATATTCTTAGCCCCCAAGTGCATAACCTTACATTTATCAACATAAAATCTCATTTGCCACATAGTTGCCCAATTAAACAGTGCATTGAGGTTGGCTTGTAAATTGAAGACATCCTGTAAGGACGTTATTGCACTGCACAGCTTGGTGTCATCTGCAAAGACTGAAATGTTACTTTTAATCCCAGACCCTATATTGTTTATAAATGTATTAAAAAGTAAGGGTCCCAATGCCTGTTAAATCTGCCAGCAACCTTGTGTCTGTATAACTTTCAGTGAATAATTGGCCAGAAAATTGCTATTAAGCAATTATGTGATATTTTGGCTAGCCCAAGCTCTAAAAAAGGTTTAAAGTGTTACTAAACCCACAACAGTAAAATCAGTCTGTATATGCAGTAAAGCATGCTTGTTATAGTCACTGTGGAACCTAAGGGGTTAATCCTCTGCATTGTGTAAAAATGCTGTTTGATCCTGACTTCTCTGATCCTCCCCTTCTTCCAGTGTCCCACTCTTATCTCCTGCTAAGACATATCGTGTGGAGACACTCTGCACATGCTCAGTTTGGTGTATATTGCTAGAGAAGTTTTTTTTTTTTTTTTTTTTTTTTTTCTTGGGAGAGTGCATGTGATCAGGACCAATCAGCACTGTCCAGACGGAGGTCAGGTGTTTGGCATCCTCCTAGAGCAGAAAGAACACGCCTCCTACAAGCTTTAATATGTGCTCTGTTGAGCACTGATAGAAGTCACAAGACTGCTCTAACTGCTGATGAGAAAAGGTATTTAGCAGTTTATATTTACTAAAATAGTTGCATTTCCCTGTCGTGTGTACTGTGGGAGACCAGATATAGTGAATGCAGGGTCCTGGGTTTAGTAAGTTTTGTGAATGCAGGGTCCTGGGTTTAGTACCAGTTTTGTGAATGCAGGGTCCTGGGTTTAGTACCAGTTTTGTGAATGCAGGGTCCTGGGTTTAGTAACAGGTTTGTGAATGCAGGGTCCTGGGTTTAGTAACAGGTTTGTGAATGCAGGGTCCTGGGTTTAGTAACAGGTTTGTGAATGCAGGGTCCTGGGTTTAGTACCAGGTTTGTGAATGCAGGGTCCTGGGTTTAGTACCAGTTTTGTGAATGCAGGGTCTTGGGTTTAGTAACAGGTTTGTGAATGCAGAGTCCTGGGTTTAGTAACAGGTTTGTGAATGCAGAGTCCTGGGTTTAGTAACAGGTTTGTGAATGCAGGGTCCTGGGTTTAGTAACAGGTTTGTGAATGCAGGGTCCTGGGTTTAGTAACAGGTTTGTGAATGCAGGGTCCTGGGTTTAGTAACAGGTTTGTGAATGCAGGGTCCTGGGTTTAGTAACAGGTTTGTGAATGCAGGGTCCTGGGTTTAGTAACAGGTTTGTGAATGCAGGGTCCTGGGTTTAGTAACAGGTTTGTGAATGCAGGGTCCTGGGTTTAGTAACAGGTTTGTGAATGCAGGGTCTGGGTTTTTAGTAACAGGTTTGTGAATGCAGGGTCCTGGGTTTAGTAACCAGGTTTGTGAATGCAGGGTCCTGGGTTTAGTAACAGGTTTGTGAATGCAGGGTCCTGGGTTTAGTAACAGGTTTGTGAATGCAGGGTCCTGGGTTTAGTAACAGGTTTGTGAATGCAGGGTCCTGGGTTTAGTAACAGGTTTGTGAATGCAGGGTCCTGGGTTTAGTAACAGGTTTGTGAATGCAGGGTCCTGGGTTTAGTAACAGGTTTGTGAATGCAGGGTCTTGGGTTTAGTACCAGGTTTGTGAATGCAGGGTCCTGGGTTTAGTAACAGGTTTGTGAATGCAGGCTGGGTTTAGTAACAGGTTTGTGAATGCAGGGTCCTGGGTTTAGTAACAATTTGAAGAGTTTTTGTGCAAGGCTTTTCTACTTTGTAAACACTAGATTGTACAGTATAATCGTTTACAGTAAAAAATCCTTTGCAAATACTTGATCAGGCTTTTTGGCATAGCTCTCCGTAAGGGGAATGTACAAAAACCAGTAACACTGTAAACCAGCTATGTAATGCAGGAGTGGTGCTTTTTACATTTACTTCATAAAAAAACAATTCCAGTAGTTATTGAAGGTGTTGCAGATTGGGATCGCGTTGTATTAAAATAGATAAACAGCTGACTGATTTATCAAGTATCTTGCTTGCCTAGCATACAGAGGTAACAAATGCATATTGATGAGTCATTTGAGTCCCTCTAGGGCTCTGAAGGTAGTCTGGACACCTCTTCTTTCTAAAGGCATCGTGATCTGGGGTGGAAAATAATTAAGTTCGGGTAGGCATTGTAAATCAGTGTTTTCTAGCAGTTAGATTGGCAATTTTGGCTACCCAGCAGGTAAATTGAATATACTTTACTAATATTATTGCATTCTTACCTTGCAGTGCTGGCTGAATATCCATCAGAACAATTCATAGACTTTCTAAGCGAGCTTTGTGTGTTCTGTGTTGTTCTTCCAGGTGCTTCAAGTTCCTCCTATATCTCAAAACTCTACTGGTAGGTTATGCAGTTTGCAAACCCAAATTGAAACTAGCGCGTGATTATGGTAGTTTGCGAGCCTATTCTGTTGTGATTGGTGTATGTACTCTATATGCTGTGCAGAATTTGACAGCACTTTATAAATGCACTAAAAGTGCTTCAAAACCTAAAACTTTTTTGCTATGACATATACATTTTTTATGCTGAGTGTCTGTCTTTAATCAGGGGCACGTTTAATGGTCTTTTACTATTGTAATACATAGAATCCCCACTATCCTTCCTCTCTCTCCCATCGGGGGACATATAAATAATACTCGTATATAAAGAAAATGCTCAGCGGTTCAGCACTGTAATGGCCTCTAATGCGACAGATCTTTGTTTAATAGACTTCTCTAGCTGCCCCGGTGTCTGCAAAATGAAGACTTCAAGGTTGCTCACAGAACAGAAGCCACAAAAATATGTGTTTGAAGGCCCAGACTATTAACGGGTGACCCTGATTAACCCCATTGAGTCTTAATGGGGCCTTACATGAAGAATTTATAGATTTATGCACCCGTAATGGAGTGATCCAACTCGTGATGTTAATCTGAGAACAGGAGAAATCGCAGAAACCTGTAACATGGCTGGAGCATATGGGCTTTCAGAAAATCAAATTATTACTTAGAGCGATGTTAATCATAAATTATTTAAGGTGTGTATGTCTACATTTATTGTATTTTTGTCAGCAATTCTGTTGGCCATCCAAATCCGGCTAGGTTCATTTTTTAAAAAGATGTACAGTAGTTGTTCACATGTTTCCCAGCTTTGATTGTTTGCTATGGGTAGCAGTTTTTCTTTTCTAAATATGGTAGCAACAGCAATACATTACACTATTTCTATGGAGTGATCTTTCTTTAAGACCAAGTGAGATTCTTCTCCTGAAAGACTTGTTTTTAGAATAGGGCAGGGGCGGACTGACCATTTGGAAACTCAGGCACTGCCCGGGGTTAGTAGGGGGCCCCATGAGATGCCCATGGTACCTTTTTCATAGGCTTTTTTGAGTTTGGGCAAGGACACGGGCCCCATGATCCCCTATTGCCCGGGGCCCCCATGAGTTGTCAGTCCGCCCCTGGGCAGGGGCCTCCAAACTTTTCAAACAAAGGGCCAGTTTACTGTCCTTCTGACTTTAGGAGGACCGGATTATGGGCAGTAGGAGTAGAAAATGTCCCAGGCCCAGCATCAGTGAAAATAAACATGGCCTCAGGATTGGTGGACAGTAGGAAGAAGTAGTGCCCCATCATTGGTATTATTGGGAGGAATAATGCCCCATCTTTGGTATCAGTGGAAGAAATAGAGACCCATTGTTGGCATCAGTGGAAGGAATAGTCCCCTTGAGAGAAATAGTGCCCCATGGGCCGGATAAAGGGTAGCAAAGGGCCACATCCATCCTTCAGGCCACAGTTTGGAGACCCCTTAAATAGGGCATCATTGTTAGAGTGCAGTACCAGGTTTCACCTGCAGGAGGCTCAGGGAGAGAACTGAAACTTTGGATCTTGGTTTGGACAGGAGCTGGGTGAGGGTCCAAGAATTAGATTGTAAGCTCTAACGACCAGGCCCTCTGTTTCCTCTTGTACCAAATTGTATTGTAACTGTAATGTCTACCTTCATTTGGTAAAGCACTGCGCAAACTGACGGTGCTATATAAATCCTGTATAATAAGAATAATAATGGAGGACTTTATCTGTGCCACTACATGTTTTATTTTCCAGCTGGGGATGTAGTGTTGTGACTCCCCCTGAAAAAAATGTCTAAGACATTAGCAGCTTTGTTTTCAAACTGACCCCTTTCACAGCTCCAGTATATGGTGTAGTTGTCACAAACCCAAATTATTAAGGATGTCTGTGATGATGTCACTCTAATGGCATGCAGATGCTCTGACTGTAAAAGGACTGCACCTTTAAATTCTTTAATCTGCACCTTTTTTTTTGTCTTGAATTCATTCTCTTCCCTCATTTCAGGATGCTTTTATTGCTTACCAACCGAAACACATTAGCAGATGCCTACAGAAGGTCGTAAACCACAGGCAGTGGAAGCAACATCCTGTCCTCTTACTGAGCAATAAACATACAAACATCAGGCATTCAAGGCTGGCTCTGTACTTGCCATAACATCTCTCTGGAAAAACACAGAACCATAGCTGAACATTCCATACCACCAGAAATATATCCTGTCATTTGTTTTGTTTTTTCATCACAATTCTCCTGTAAGTGGATATGTACACTCTACATTGACTTGTGGTTTTGCCTTCCATAGAGTTAGGCTACTTTCACACTGATTCCTAGCAGAAACGCATATGAGTTTTTACCGCATTTGCAGTGTTTTTTTTTTTTTAAAGGACATATGACAACAAAAAAAAATGGATAGGTTTGTTTTTAGTGTATTTTTTTTTATTTTGTACCGCACCAAAAATGAAGCAAGCAGGATTTTAAGACGCAACAGATCAATGTGAAGAGTTCCATAGGAATACATGGTCACACTTTTTTCTTCCGCTTTTTTTAAACTCAAAAGCGGAAGAAAAATGAATCCGTTTGAATGCAGCTGTACTGTGCTACTGTTGTGTAATCTCTCTTAAACATATGTCCACCTTTCACCTGGTGCAACTTTTTTTGGGAGCTTTATCATGACTTGTATACGTGGAACAAAAGCCAAACTATATCTCTTCTTAAAAAGTTTCCTCTCCCCTCTTCCTACCTATCCTGTCTAACCTGTATAAAGTGTATGTACTTGCCTATTTTTTCATTCACTCTGGTCTGGTCACGTGATCATGCAGCTCCACCTGCCCTTTGTCAGCAATCAGCTGCTGCCGGGCAGAGGAAGGAGTGCTAACAACAGTTGGGCTATGGGTGGCACCACGGCTTCTGGAATTCAAGGACATTGTCTAGAGCTCCCTTACACATGATTAGACAGGAGCAGACTAAAATAGGTAAGTACGCACATTTTGTTGTTTTTTTTTAAACAGGTTAGACTTTTCTTCCACTTTAATAAAGGCAGAGCTACTGAAAGGATTCTGGGAGACCCTGAAAGATCTTGTCTACTTGTATGAATGGAGGGGAGAGGTTGGAGTTGACAGATGAACATAAAAGTCAACAAGTCCATTGGGATTAATCATCTAAAGTAGGGTGAAGAGCTCTGATTAAACACAAGCACGCCAAACCTCAACAACCAGACTACCCCACTTACATTAGATCATGAAGGATTCATTTGGTTGGGAGTAATAGGTGACTCCACTTTAAGGTTTCACTAATTGAATAAGTCTGTAACTTTGATTTCCCCTTTCTTCTGTTAATTTGATCACAGGATGAGTGCTATCAATATTCTAACGGCCCTATATTACTCCTGAGTTTGCTGGATGGAACAAAAAACCTAAACCATTTGGCACATGAAGCCTTTTTGAAAGATGGTACATTTTGTTGGAGACTAATACCTTGAGGTGTCAGAACTACAGTTGTCTAAAGCTGGCCACACATGGTGCAAATTTTGTCTGGTTCAGGCAAAATTCGCTTTGTGGGTGACTTTGTCAGCACCCTCCCACCCAACACTCTTTGAATGAAAAATCGAAGCAAGCCAAGCAAAAATTTGTTGGCCAAACAATACCTGAGTCCAGTCAGATGCAGCCACTGGTCAGGTACTTTGACAGCTGGTAACACTAGCTGTTGGGATACAATAGCCACAGTGGAACTTTTTCCATTCATGCTGTTTTTACATTTTGTGTGTATGGACAGATTTAGGCTTTCAATGTGAAGACAATGGTTGGATCTCTCTCCCTTGGCCCTTTTTCCCAAAACTGATATTTCATTGTGTCACGAATGCTGGAAAGATAACCTTCCTCAGTTTTTTCCCCTCTCTCTCTTGGACTTTGTTAGATTTGTCTTCGAACAAAAATATTTTCTGTTACTAAGAGACACATTTTATCCCAAATGATTGTAGATTCACTTACTGTTGTTTGGCAGACTATCTCTGCTGTAAGTCATTCCCGTGTGTTCTGAATGTACCACCTTACAGTTCGCTAGAGAAAGAGATGTCTCTAGTAAAGTACTATGTAATCTTCTCATGGTCACCAGTTCAACATACAAAATGGCTGTCCAAAATGCAATTTTAGAATATATAAATAAGTTTTATCTACATAGCCATAAAAACTGTTAATCACATCACTACGACTAGTATACAGTACAACAGCAAAAAATATTAGCCAGTGTCTCCTTATCCACCACCCTGGCCAAATATCATTAGCAACATGCGATAGTTTAACTGCTATTTCAATAATGCTAATAAAATGGCCAGTGCCATCAAACTAACTGATAGGCTGACATAAATCACAGAGGTT